CTTTACTTCTGAGTTGTTAAGACATGTGGATCGGTCAACAAAATCCTGGCTGTCACTTACCCGGGTAGGGTTCGCCTAACACCGCCACAAATGTAGTATCCAGAGCCACCTCTGCGGCCATAATATACCAGGCGAATAAGAAGGAGAACAACTAAGTATTGGTGTACAGGTCACACCACAATGCACAAATACAAACCATGACGTTATTAGCGCTTCACAGGGTGGATGTCAACTTTTTTGCTTTTTATCATCTTCAAATAAAAAAATCGTTTGTGTATATGGCCGGATTAATCTACTGATTATTCTTCCACTCTATTTTTCCCAATGTCCGTCCTACTGCCTGAAATGAACCTAACAAATTTCCGTACTGAGAATCTAGAAAACTTTTATCATCCGTTATTATGAAAAACCAAAACTAGAAGCCAATCTAATGGGCCTTAGACTAGATATCATTTCAAAGTGACAACTTACTGATTGGCTTCTTGCTTTCCTTTAAATAGGGAAATTTATCTAGCGAAATTTCCGGAACGGAGACATCAATGCCTGCTTTTGAAGCCTTTTTCAATTTCTGCCCATTTAGCTAATCTAGACACTTTGTAACGGGAACGCAGTGAGATGCTGCTTCACTTGTTCGTTGGTTTTCACGTCTCCTGCCCTACCAAGGTGTAATGCTGCACAAATGCCCAATTTCCACAGCCTTCTCCGTCTCCCAGGCCGTTAGCCCTGATGTAAAATATGCGCGATTTGTCTCAACTACTTGGTAAAGTACACAATATGGGGGAAACCCGCGAGGCAACATTGACGCAAATGGGAAACCTCACAAACTATCTTGCATTAGCTGTGTCTGGATGAGCTGATGGGCACACTTCGGTCTCACATAAATACTCCCATCCACACAAGGCGGTGATTAGCCAGCATCAGGCACGGAAATCTCTTTAATTAAAGGTAACAGAAAAACGAAAATGTGGACGATGGCACGTTTTATGAAGGTTGGACCTACCTTGATGGAACACATTACATGAATCACTGGCCTCAAAGTTCATATAAACTCAAAAGAATTTGCACCCAAAATATCCGCCCTCAGTGCTACGGGTGTGTCGTATCTGTTTACGATATTCAAATCATCTTAGAAAGAACAACAACAATTCCGGTTCATCAAAAGTTAAAAGTTTAGTGGCAGTTAAAGTTATTTACTAGCCATAGGTGCCTGATGTTGGAGAAATAAAGAACATCACGAACAAATTTGTTGATGATTACCGTGGTTGCCTCTCCACGTCAGTTGAAGTTAGTTCTTATCAAATGAATCCCTTATTTGACAATCCACTTGACAATAACATCACAATCAGTGAAGTATAAGTGATTGGCAAGGGAGGTTTAGTACTTTCCAGCCTTCCTAATCCTTTCGCTGTATCTACCCAGACGAAGTATTCAGTACAAAAACATGTGCACTGCTGCAAATCAAGGTTTTTTGTTCAAAAAACGTTTTTCTCTAATGATAAATTTAACTGCGTAGTGATGACTACCAAATCGGCGTCATAGCCCATTCCTGGTTCATTAGCGTAATTTATTACCCATTCATTGATGACTCAGGGTGGGTTACCATATACGAAACAAGCAAGTGTAGTTAGACGTTTTTGGATAAAAATCAGGAATGAATCGCTATTAATTAGAAGGTGCTTCTTTTACCCAAAATCCCACGTTACAGTCGAAATGTCCTAAAACACTGCCTCATAATTAGAGAATAAAAATGAATGATTTACGAATGGCTGATAACGGTACGAGATAGGCCTTGTGCTGGCTGGATGTCGTCAAAATGCCTTGTGGGCGTAGGGCAATCTCAGCAATTTCACAATGTGCCGCTTTTTTTTCGGGGCAAGGAGCTGTAAAACCACATACCTCATTGGCAATCTCTTGTATGTGTGCATGTGAAAGCTCAGAATTCGCCAGACTCCACTACACCCCAACCCAAATGTAGACCGCATTCCTCACATTATTTATTCATCCACATCTTGGCCACCATAAGCACCTCCCTTACCACCTCCGTTGTTTGCACACTCATAACATGGCTTTTTTGTTTTCAATGAACCCCTTTCTTTAAACTCCCAACAGAAAGGAACTTAAAGGCGGGAAGAACTTAGGGGTCGTGACATTATTTCTGGTAAATTTCCACTTAAGATATCATGCGAATTTCACTTTTTAAAATCTTTTTTAGTTTTAAAATGTTGCTTAAGAATCGTTGTGTTTCTTAAACAGTCTCTCTCCTTTGAAAGCCGAATTCAAACCGAGGACTGTCTTTTATTTGATCTGAGCAAGGCATACTATTTCGATCTGTTGATTTGAAGTTCGGCCTTACAGTGTAATAGAATTTCAAATTTGGTTGAAAGGCTGCGGATGTGAACAAGGCGTAGGTAATTTGACACTTAGCACACCGCAAAATATGATCGCTGAAATTTTAAACACACGAAGTGCT